ATGTTGTTTCTCATTTGTTGTGAGGTATGAAACTCTGATGTACACCGATACACTCAATATATTTCATTAACAATAGCTTGGTGATAATTTCATCATTATTTTGCGAGAATGAGCTTATAGGTAGTGTTGCTGTTTGTTCATCCACCAGAAGTGCATAAAATTCACACCATTTCATATACTCACATGCAATATTTCTATTAATTCCTATCGAATCTGGTGTCCTCAGGATGTGAAACTCAATGAGTGAATATTGTCTCCAAATTTGATGATTCATACACGTCTCCGATTAAATTGTGATTTGACACGGTTAAACTTGGTGTTAATTTCGTAAAATTAGTGTATATTCCACATTAAAGTGAATAATCGCACCAATAAGAATATTACTTTTCAACCATCTGGTGTTTATTTCAAATGTATCTTTCACAATCTCTCCACATCACCAGATCCGTGTCATGTCTCACTACTAAGGTCAGAGTTCACACCACCGAACACTATTTTATGAAATTTATAATAAAATGAACTAAACTATGATATCCAGGTGTTTATTTCATTGGATTTTTTTCTGAAATCGATGTGATTGAAATTACACCCAATTTTTTTTCACTGTGTATGTAGTAGGACAAATCATATGATTTGCCCCAAAATGTCGCTACGTTCAACAATTCTTTTATCAGGGAGCCTGAAAGAAATCTTCAATAGCTTGTCAGTGACACTTTGTTTGGAAAAATGTTTGAAGAGAAAAAACATGGATATATTAAAAAAATATCGAATTTTCACTTACTTTTGGACGTTTCGAAAACGAATCTGCTCCCGTTCTCAACATAAAAATGCAAAATAGTTTTATTCGAAAATGTTTTTCTTATAATTTGGCATATGGATGAGTGATGATGTATTTCAATTAGCATAATCTTCTCCTAGTGATTTTTCAACAATATTTCAGAATTGATTTTCTCACCAAATACCACTCTAGCTTCAATCAAGAACAGAATTGTTTTCTCCGAACTGGAATAATTAGAAGAATGGAATTTTCGAAAAATGGTTTATGGTGTTCTGGTGATAATTGAAGTCTATACAGGGTGTCCCAGGATTTGCCTGCCAAACTTCACCAGCGGCTTCTTCGACCAAAAATAGGAAGAAAAGTTCCAAGGAACATGAGTCGAGAAATGTCTCTTAAGTGAGTTAGGGCCCCTTGAGAGGAGGGTCCTGAAGATGATATTTCTTGAATATTTTCGAAACGTGATGAAATAATGCAATGGAGAAGACCACTGAGTGAAGAAATCCGTGCAAACCTCTTTCAATCGACGAATCATGATTTACGTTTGATGTACAACTAATATTATGAGTTGAAGTTGAAGGGAATCGAATCTATATCGTTCTGAAATCAGCATATTTCATTCGATATTTCAAACAGCCAAATATATGATGGTGGAGTCGTGACGTATTAGTCCCGAACTGTAGTTATCTCTCTCTGATACCTCGTCATTCTGCAGTGTTGCACAGTGATTGGTCAGTTCAAGTACAATAAGACAAATGGCGCAGGAATTGTGTGATTTGAAATGGACATATTCTAATTTATTATTTTCATCGTCTTAGCATGAATGACAAAATTCAAAATCAATGCGCTGGTAGTTTTTCAGTATAGAGTTCACGATAATGTCATTTTGAAGAATCAGTGGTCTCCCCCATTTGGTACACGAACTAAACTTTCCATGCACAATGCGGTGAACATGACATCATTTCAAAGTTTCATTCAAGAGTGTATAATACAGGGTGAGACTACATCAAATATTGCTCAAACTTCTTCGTGTGCATATTTTTTCACAATTTATTCTTGGATTATGAAAATCTACATCCTTTCACAAAAAAAGATGCTCTTGTTCTCTTGTTCCGCATCGCATTTTCGAGTGAAATCGATTCAAAAATATTGATCCACTCACATCCGAGCTCACATCTAATGCATAACGTTGTCAATTTTCAATTCCTAGTGGCTATGAAAAAATGAAGTACTCATTCAACCTCAAGAAAGCGCAAAAAATTGGAAAATGATGATGAAAAAACTACTCAAGTTTTGTGCATTTTTTTTCCATTGCCACTACACCTCATCGCAATGTTATTTATAATATCTGAGATGTTAAAAAATTTTTGAATTGCTTTTACTCGATAATGATACATCTGATCGTCACGGAACAGGAGTACCTTTTTTCTGTGAAAAGGTGTGAAATTTCTTGATCCGAGATTAAATTGTCGAAAAATATGCATACAAAAAATTTTGACTAATATTTAATGTAGTCCCACTCTGTATCATACGCTCCTGATCGAAATTTCAAAATGATTTTATCTCCACTGCATTGTGCATGGGAATTTCAGGTTTTGAACCGAATTGCATTTCTTCATCACATGGAGTTTCGGAAATACTCAAGAAACATCATCTTCAGGAGCCCCCTTTCAGGGGACCGTATCTCCCTCAGGAGACATTTATCGACTCATGTTCATTGGAAGCTTTCTTTCTATTTTTGGTGCTGTGGAAGCCGCTGGTGGAGTTTGGCCGGGTGATTCTGGGACACCCTGTATAGTGTTATTATGAGTGAAAATTTACCAATCCGGTGAACAATTTCGAACAAACTAGTTGTTTCATACTTATATATATAGATCCTATGATTCTGATCAAGAAAGTGTGTATAAATATGTGTCCTATCTTGACGATCAGTGGCGGAGAAACAGGGGGTCAAAGATCAATTATTTTCTCCTACTAATTAAAATATCTCGCTGACTTAAATTCCACAGGATGATACGTTTCTGATGAGAGTTGAGGCTTCTTTATTCTCCCTCAAATCTTTCCGTAGTACACCTCTGACATATTCCATTTATCAAAGAGGGTGAATCGTTCAATTAGAGGACTTCATCTACATATCAGTTTTTTTTTCGAGTAACGTAATGTTTTCGAAATAAATGAGCATAGACGTGCAATAACATGTTATTTTTGTCTATTATTGTTTCCTCAATACAATGAAATGTATCAAACACAATATGGATCAGCAGCAGAGATATAGTTTATGCAAAGTCAGTTGGAAAAACATATCACCGCGTGCTGTCGATCCCTTTGAAAGTTCAAAGAGTGCGGCACGACATTCGTTTGATGATCTGTTCAACTGACTTGAACTCTACAAAAGGTAGAAGGTCAGGCTTCTTCGTTTTGACCCACTTGTTGAGCCCCATCCAGTTGTATCCATATTCCTTATCCAAAAACTTTCTCAACATCATTCGAACAAAATTGAAAAAGAAATAGCAATCAACTTGTCAGGAAGAATCTTCTCGAGGAATGCGATAATTCCTTCTGCGTATTCTAATATTACTAATTGATTTTGTCCAAGAATTGAATTCAAGAGGCAAATATAGATAAAATTAACATGTTTTCGAACGGAAATGTTAATTGGTCTCGAAAACGGTTCGTTCCTAGGAAAAAATTGATATGTCTAAAAACCTCTAAATTGAACGATCCAGCCTATTTGGTAACTGTAAAATGTCAATTCCTTCTGGCGGCCCGATGTTGCAGCAACAGCTGTGGACAGGCAGCTCGTCAACGGGTTCGAAGGTTCCTTTCATGGAGACGCCGACGAATGGTTGAACAGGATATATTGATGTTCGTGATGTTCCTTAGTTGACTCTCATTCAAAGTTCTCCGACGATTAACTGTCAGAAGGACATGGTTATCATCCCGACGGCTTGTTGCTTTATTACGTCAACCGCCATGACGGTATGCTACATTGCCTGTATCCTCAAAACGATGAATCAGTCTATTTATAGTCATGACTGACTTATTGAAAATGGTACTTAAATGAGTTTGGGTATATCCTAATCGTCGTAACCTGAATTAATAATTATCTGTACTGAATTATAGTTTATATCACTAAAGTGATCTTATCAAATGATATTTTCCATTTCGACTCGATTCAAACGAGGCATCTTTGAATTTTTTATGAGCCGAATAACACTGACGTTTTTATGAAAATTGGCATTTGATAAAACCTCTATGCATACCTTCATTGTTTCAACAATACGTTGTTATAGAAACAAGGTAACTTTGTTTGTTTTTGTTGATGAGATGTGTTGATTCACTGCTAACTAAGGTAGAAAACTTTCATCATAGACTGCGGAGTAATGAAGTATTGATTGTTTTTGAGTAACCTGGTATACATATCTGCTCCAACGCTTTCCTGAAATGCATAAAAGCATCAATTCATGGAACTCTTCTAAAATTAGTCCATTTTAAAAAAAGCAAAACAATTTTATTTTCGGAAGCCATAGTGATTTTTGGCAAAAACTCGGGAGGTATGGTTGCTATTTATGAAATGCCAGAATAAAATATGAGCATCGTGGTCTTCCGACAAAATGGGAGGGGGCGGATAAATTTTTTTCAGAATGTACGAAACTCTGTTTCACCCTGTATCATGGGTCCTGATCAATTCAATAGGAGCTGTGAGAAACGGTTCGAAAGACGATGAAAAAGGCATTCAGAATCTGGGCGGCTATTAAAAATTCGTTCAATATTTTAGAAATTACGAGAAGTCAAAATTGATGCCAAATTTCACTATTAACGTTTCAATTGACGCCCAGTTCACTTGAAATTATGAATTCCTAGGAAGTATTGACCACACCGAATTGATCTCTTCAAAAGTGATCGAGATATTCTAATTGATAGATCCGCTACTGATCGAGATCTGACCTAGGTTAATATGCATTTTTTCAAATGGAATGATGATATCTATCACCCATTCCAGTTTGTACCGCAAAACCTGAATCACCCTGTATGGAGTGCATGGAATGCAGTATTTCCGCATCAAACATATCATAACGATTTAAATATTATCTCAATGCGATTACAGATCAATACTCATTCACACAACATGTGCACAGTACGAGGCCATTTCTATTATCAATAATTGAATACTTCAGGACACAAAATTATTCGATTAGTAGATTGGTTCCGTAGAGTAGGAAGAATGACTTCGGTGGAGCTTTCAGCAGAACAGAGTCAGCTAATAGAAAAAATCGCAAGTGATAATGATTTTACCGATCACCAAGTCAAAGCCATAACAGGTAGTGTGAAAGGAGATAATTACTTGGGGAAGATCACTTCCGTTACAGTTGAAGATGGCAACAGGAAACTAGAGCTGATACTGAAGTCAGCTCATGTAGGGGAAATGAGAAACCAAATCCCAATCCACAAAGCCTACATGCGCGAGATATTCGTTTACGAGCAAGTCTTCGCGAAGTTCAAGGAGTTTCAGGAGGAGTACCGCATATCCGAACCATTTCAGAGTCACCCAAAGCTCTATGCGACCAGTGATGTAGAGCCCAGGGAGTGTCTAGTTATGGAGAATCTGCGAGAAAGCGGTTACAAGCTGTGGAACAGGAAGCAACTCATGAACCCAGAACATATATCTGCAGTGCTGAAAGAGTACGCCAAACTTCACGCAGTCTCCTTTGCTATGGCTGAAAAGAAGCCAGAGGACTTCAGGAAACTTGCTGAGGTGATGAAGAATCATATTTGGGAGAATGATAAGGAGCTGACGGCTACGTATATTAGATCGGTGATGAATCAAGTTCTGGGTCTTTTCGAAGATGATCCAGATACAACTGAAGTTCTAAAAGCGTTCGAGAAACGTTTACTTGATTTGTTTTTCGATCCGTCAAATGATTCCGAGAATATTGTGTTCGATCATGGGGATTGCTGGTGCAATAATTTGATGTTTGGATACGAGGTAAATTTAATTTCCAATAATAAACCACCTTGATGAATGAGAGGGCCTGTTGAGATCCCAGAGATGTTCTAGGATATATCATCTCTTATTTTCTAAAGAATAAAAATGCTCCCGTTTTCAAAATGAGAATGGAAAAATTTTCCTCGCAAATTTAGTGGATACCAAATGTTCTATCTAAATATATCAACTGAACAGATTCGTTCCCTAAACGTCTAAAGATGAGTGAAAATATAATATTCCTATACTTATATATATATATATATATATATATATATATATATATCACTTTTTTCAATGGAAATTATCAATGACAATCAATTCTTCTTTTGAGCTTTACGGTAGAATAGTTATTGATACACCAAGGTAGTAAAGAATATCAGTATTACCCAGGGACCGCATTTAAATTTCGAGGCTTCAATGCCGGGTGCATATAAGCAAAACGTACATCTATTTGGCAAACGGCCTGTATCTACGCTTTCTGATTGGTTGATGCCAAATAACAGTACACATTGCTATACCGGCGCCAAATAGATGTACAATTTGCTGCAGATCTCGCCGCCAAATAGGCAGTACGAATTGCGTATGATACCTAAAATAGATGTACACTTTGCATAGGGCTCGCGCTTTTGTTTTTGTTTTTGGTCAATGGTCAGTCATTATTATGCAAGCAGCACGTGCATCCTATCATTGAGTTGAATACCTAGTTGAGTTTGATTTCAATACCTTATTTCAATATGGAATTACCCCAATCTTTCAAATATAAGACGAATGGAGTTACTAACAATGATATAATATAACAGTTTATGGAGATTTACACAATCTAGAAGAATGTGTGTGTGATGGATTCGGGAATTTTCTAGGTTAAATCACACGAAATGGATCGTACGTGAAAGTGCTCCCAATTTAAAACTTTTTGTGTGTTCGTAAGTAAGATCTATGGTATAGCTAAGTAATAATGTTTTAATTATTATGTGCTGTGCTATGCTGAAAGTGGGGTGATATTTATGATAGTTTTGATGTAACAGAGGATTTTTTTTTGTTAGATTTCGTTAGGGGTTTGGAGGAGGTATATAGGGGTGGGTAAGAAGCAATAGGAATTGTTCAGCGCGACCACGCGCGACTTTGTATGTATATAGATATTTCACTAGTGGAAGCTTTCGTGACTGATTGATTGAACAATAAGTATTCATGGGAATATTCGTGTGAATTTTGGGGTCGAAAATTGAAGCAATTGAAAACCTTTTTTTCGATATTACGTTGCCCAATGAGATTTCTGTTCTTGGTCACGTGATGTCAGATTCAAAATTTTCAATGGGACAACCTGTATATTTTGGCATTTTCACATTCCTCCTGATCAAACGATTTCAACAAACGATTACAATTGCAGTCTCTATTTATAACGATCAATTTGAGAACTACAGTTACGTCAATATCCTTTGTCCCAAAGTTTTTTGACTACGCTCTTCAATAAAATATGAATGAATAATATAATTTTGCATCGCTTTAATCATCACAATGAATATAGGATTGCCCACATAACCATTGACACCCTTAACCCAAATAATTTGGCAACTGCTCGTTTCAGACGTTTGTAGTAATCGCCGTGGGACAAAAGATATTGCAGTACCTGGTATAGTTCTTGAATTAATCGTTTTAGGCTACAAGTGTGATAGATTGTTGGAATTGTTTTATCGAGAGGAACATAGTAATTCCAAAATAAACAGGTTGTCCCATTAATAATTTTGAATCTGATGTCACGTGACCGAAAACGTAAAGCTCATTGGGTAATATAATATTCGACCCCAAAATTACAATATTCTACTACTCTTGAGTTTCGAGATATTCCCTGTCTTAGTTGTCGAGGGACACCCTGTAAATTTATGTTTTTAGAACGCACTATCGATGTGTGAATGTGATGAGTATTTTCGATTTTGTATTATCATTATTATGATGAATTTTTGATATCCCATGCAGTTATTGCAGTTTCAATTTAATGCCATAACGTACAAGGCGCTGACGCGACTCCAACAATATGTACTGTTATCTGGCATACACATGCATTTTCAATTCACGCGCAAAACGTACATGACTCTGACTCAACAATGGCAGAACGTACTGTTATTTGGCATCAACCAATCAGAAAGCGTAGATACAGGCCGTTTGCCAAATAGATGTACGTTTTGCTTATATGCGTCCCGGATATGAGGTCTAGTAATAATAATATTCTTTACTACCAAGGTATATATTTTTGTTTCACCACACGCAATACATTTCAATTATTTTCATGTTATGGAACTGAAATATGAACCTTTTGTCAAATAGAAAGCAGTTCTCGTTAACTCTAATTGAAATATAGTTGCCATGACTATGACAGCATATGTCAAGTCGTTATTGATAAATACCTTCTAGATTCGAGTGCCATTCCTGCGAATCAATAAAATAGAATGACATAGGAATTTATTCATCAATGATAAGTTCATACATGTGGTACATACAATTACAAATCTTTGTCAGACTAATCAGAACATTCATCAACTACGCTTTATAGTCATAGTGTGTAACATACATATCAAAATTGAGTAGACATATTGAAAGATGTAAGAACAATGATTACATGAAAAATTCAAGTTGGTTGAATTAGTTGAAATTAAAATTGAATGAGAATCAATAGAATTTGAAAATATATGTGTACAAGTAGAATGAAGTAATTATACAAAAATAATAGTTAGAGCCGTAGAAAGTCTTCAATAGAATGATATTCAATTTTCATCAGGTAATCAAGTGAGAAACTCCTAAATTAACTGAGACTTGATACCTTGCCAAATAAAGGGCTTTCACGCTGGGTTGATAGTTGCACAATACTTGGTAACAATGTCGTGCCAAAACTGCACATCGAAAAATACTAGTAACTTTCGAAATGGGCGAACCGCGTTATCTATTCAAGTTGGCAAAACTTTACACCGATGCCAGATTCATTTCACATTTCTAGAAGCGATTTGTTGTGATCAGCTGATCTCTGGGAATTATTCACTGACAATTTGTACTTTCAAGGAATTGTTTGTGATTTATTTGTGGAAAATAGGCGAAATTCGATTCATTCAAAATGCCTAAACCATTGAGTGCGGAGGCGCAGAAGATCGTGGTATCATTGATGCAATATTTCGAAAATGAACGTGATAACGATTGTCCATTACTTCCAATGACTGCTGTGAGAGATGTGAGTAGAATGATGGTATTAATAATGATATTATAATAATGATAAAAAACTTGACTCATTCAAGATTTAATAAAACACATATGACATTTTTCACACAGAAATCTTTCTGTTAGTGAAATATGTTTGTTTCATTGAAATTTGTGTAAATTTGATCTTTTTTGAAGTTTTTCAATCACTATGGATTTTTTTTTCAGTAAGGGCCAAGGAGATTTGAAATATAAAAATAGGGGCTAGGGCTTAAATATACTTTAATTTCTAGGAACAAGCCACCCCCTGTTTCTATTACAGACACTATTGCAGAACAGTATGGTCATCAGGTACTGAGAATTCCACCATACCACTGTATTTTCAACCCAATTGAAATGATATGGGGGATCACCAAAACTTATTATAGAGATCATGCTGTTGGCCAGCATGGGAGTTTTGTGGTGAAATCTCTGGATATGTGGAAAGAGTCTCTGGGGCAAGTTACTCCAGAAATATGGGCCAATAGTGTTCGCCATACTGAACAAATAATTCAAAGTTGGTGGGAGAGAGAAAATATTTTGGATTTACAAGATATTCCACAAGTGATTATAAATGTAGGAGAGGAGGATTCTGATAATAGTGAGAATGAATTTGATGACAGTGAAGAAGATTGAATGACATTTGAAATTTCAGTGTGGTATATATTGGGGCTTTGTTGTCTATTTCATAATTTCCAATATAAGTAGATGCACCACTATTTATTTTCCCACGAAATAAAATCAATTGATCGAATTTCTATTTCATTTCACCAATTTATTGTAATTGAAAAACATTCAAAACGATTAGATAACCTCAAAATTGAATTCAAAGTTTCCATTATTTTCACTCAGTAAATGTGAATACTGATCAGTTCTATTAAAAAAAAAAAAAATTCGAGACATTATTGTGTAATGGTAGAGAAATAAGTTATTTTTAATGTCAATATCTGTGATTGTTTGTTGATGTTGTTAATAAATCATTCGTCAAGTTATTATTCTTTATAAGAATTTCGTTATCATCAAATTTTATATTCAGTACATTGTTTAGGTTCATGGTTCATTAAATAAAAATATTGAAGTTCATTTATCAACTTCAAGTGCTGATTTAAAAACATAAATGGACGGCTTTTGAGTTGGTTCCAAAAAACATTATATCGTCCGACGATCGTAATACTAGACATATCCATATTCGGGCGGTTGGTCATTCAGTCATTTCCTTTCAACTGGCAACACTGTATGTGTTGACATATTGACGTCACTATCAAACCTGTGTGAAAGCCCTATAGCTGAAGTACTTTTATAAGAACAGTGAATTTCGGTTGATTATATCAGAGGTAGTTTTTATTGACCAGTGATTCATAAAATGACGAAAACTAAATTCGTAGTATAAATACACTTTTTGCCTCGAGAAGGAGTATATACTTGATGGTAAATTCCATAGTGATATCGGTTGTAGGTTGTAGATGTGGCTAGCTTTGGTTAGGATACATGAATGGTTTGCTTACTAACCATTGTGAATACGAAATTCTCATCTGACGTAGAAGATGAAAACTCTTAGATTCGTTGAGGTATCAAAGTTTTCGATTTCTCAGGTTCGTATTCATATTCTGATTGCATATTCTTGCTCACATAAGTATTGTGTTTTACATCGAGAACATTCACCTATAATGAACCTACTACAAAATTATATATTACTATACTATATCATACTATGTCAGATATTACCACTACAAAATAGTATGATACTGATAGTTCAGTTTGATACAATTTTGTGGTTT